ATGTTTTGCCTGAAGAAGAGAAGGCTGAGAAGAGACATGATAGCCATGTATAAATATGTGAGAGGAAGTCTGAACCTTAGGAAGAACTTCCTGATTGTGAGAGCTGTTCAGCAGTGGAACTCTCTGCCCCAGAGTGTGGTGGAGGCTCATTCTTTGGAGGCTTTTAAACAGAGGTTGGATGCCCATCTGTTGGGGGTCCTTTGAATGCAATTTTCCTGCTTCTTGGCAGAGGGTTGGGCTGGATAGCCCACGAGGACTCTTCCAACTCAATGATTTGATGATTCTATGAGGGTGATTCTCCCCAATGCGTCCTCTTCATCCTGGAAAGAAGTGGTGAGTGGAATGCCATAAGCAAGGTTTCGTCCTGGGCCCGGTCCTGTTCACCATCTTCATTAATGACTTAGATGAAGGGTTAGAAGGCAGGTTCATCAAGTTTGCAGACGTGACCAAATTGGGAGGGAGAGCTAATACTCCAGAAGACAGAAGCAGAATTCAAAACAATCTGAACAGATTAGAGAGATGATGGTCCAAAACTAACACAATGAAGTTCAACAGGGACAAATGCAAGATACTCCACTTAGGCAGGAAAAAATGAAATGCAAAGAGACAGAATGGGGAGGATACCTGGCTCGACAGCAGGACGTGTGAAAAAGATCTTGGAGTCCTCATGGGGAGGAAGGGGAACATGAGCCAACAATGTCATGTGGCAGTTTAAAAGCCAGTGGGATTTTGGCCTGCATCAATAGGAGTCTAGGGCCTAAATCCAGGGAAGTCCTGCTCTCCATGCTCTATTCTGCCCTGGTCAGACCACACCTGAAATCACACCATGTCCAATTCTGGGCACCACAATTGAAGGGAGATTCTGGCTCTAAGCTGGAATGTGTCCAGAGAAAGGTGACTAAAAGAATCAAGAGTTTGGAGAAGAAGCCCTATGAGGAGCGGCTGAAAGCGCTGGGCATGTTTAGCCTGCAGAAGAGAAGGCTGAGAAGTGACATGATGAGGGCCATGGATAAATATGTGAGAGGAAGCCACAGGGAGGAGGGAGCAAGCTTGGTTTCTGCTGCCCTGGAGACTAGGATGCAAAACAATGGCTTCATACTACAGGAAAAGATATTCCACCTGAACATGAGGAAGAACTTCCTAACTGTGAGAGCTGTTCAGCAGTGGAACTCTCTGCCCCAGAGTATGGTGAAGGCTCCTTCTTTGGAGGCATTTAAGCAGAAGCTGGATGGCCATCTGTCGGGGGTGCTTTGAATGCGATTTTCCTGCTTCTTGGCAGAATGGGGTTGGACTGGATGGCCCATGAGGTCTCTTCCAACTCTTTGATTCTATATCATAAGTCTCATTGTAAAGGGCACTCGCTGGAACACCTCAGCAAGTAAGAGTCCAAAAGTGGTGGGCTCAAACCCAGAACCTCAATCAATGGCTGATACCATTTGGACACCCCCTGGGCACACAGAAGACAGGGCAACTTGGAAGGAACTGAACAGACTGCGCTCTGGCACCATGAGATGCAGAGCCAACCTTCAGAAATGGGGCCACAAAGTGGAATCCACAACATGCGAGTGTGGAGAAGAGCAAACCACTGACCACCTGCTGCAATGCAACCTGAGCCCAGCCACATGCACAATGGAGGACCTTCTTGCAGCAACACCAGAAGCACTCCAAGTGGCCAGATACTGGTCAAAGGACATTTAGTCAACTACCAAACTCACAAAATTTGTATTTTGCCTGTTTGTTTGCTTTGTTCTGTTAGAAATGTAATATAATTGACTGGTTGCTCTGACACGACAAACATTGTAAAAGGTAATTATGTGGAATGGTTGCATTTGTTTTGGTTGACTCAACCAGAGGTATCCTTGTGTTGATGCTGAACTTGCAACAACATCACACTAGAGAATTAATCCACTTTAAATCCGGTTTCTGCCTCCTGCAGAATTCTGGGGCAGGGGTCCTCAAACTAAGGCCCGGGGGCCGGATGCAGCCCTCCAAGGTCATTTACCTGGCCCTCGCTCAAGGTCAACCGAAGTCTGAAATGACTTGAAAGCACACAACAATAACAACAGTCCTATCTCATCAGCCAAAAGTAGCTAGTGCTACTCCCAGGAACTAATCCAAAAGTAGGCCCACACTTCCCATTGATATACTAATAATTTTATATTTGTTAACATTGTCCTTCATTTTAATTATTGTATTGTTTTAAGTGATTTTTGCACTACAAATACGATACGTGCAGTGTGCATAGGAATTCATTCTTTTTTTTTTCCAAATTTTAATCCGGCCCTCCAACAGTTTGAGGGACTGTGACCTGGCCCTCTGTTTAAAATGTTTGAGGACCCCTGTTCTGGGGTTTGTAGTTTAGTGAGGCTGTTAAAGGCTCCTCCCTAAACTACAAAGCCCAGAATTCAGTAGGAGGCAGCAACTGGATTTGAAGTGGATCCATGCAGTGGTTCTCAACCTGGGGTCCCCAGATGTTTTTAGCCTACAACTCCCAGAAATCCCAGCTAGTTTACCAGCTGTTAGGATTTCTGGGAGTTGTAGGCCAAAAACATCTCGGGACCCCAGGTTGAGAACCACTGCGTGTGTTTAGGTATGCTCAGAGTTACTGCACTGATAACATTAGAACTGAGGTAGGCACAGGTGCAAAAAAATATTTTATGGAGATACTATGGCTATCCAGGTGTACCAACCCCTCAGTTGCCATCTGATGGTCCTTCTGCTCCAGAGAGACCCAGACAAAGCAATAAACAATTTAAAATACTTTGCCGTAGGTGGAAAATACCCCTCCTTAAGTGGAATATACACAGGTGCCCCCAGCGGCGCAGTGGGTTAAATCACTGAGCTGCTAAATTTGTTGACCAAAAGGTTGCAGGTTTGAATCCAGGGAGCAACGTGAGCTCCCACTGTCAGCCCCAGCTTCTGCCAACCTAGCAGTTCAAAAACATGCAAATGTGAGTAGATCAATAGGAACCACTCTGGAAGGAAGGTAACAGCGCTCCATGCAGTCATGACGGACACATGACCTGGAGGTGTCTACGGACAACGCCGAATCTTCAGCTTAGAAATAGAGATGAGCACCAACCCCCAGATTCGGACACGACTGGACTTCATGTCAGGGGGCAACCTTTACCTTGCACCTCCTTCATTCGTAAGGCACAGCTGTGTGATTTTCTTTTTGAAACTGAAGTGCATTCATTGTCACTACCTTACCCTGGGTGGAAAATACACAGGAGCCCCCATTCGCACAGTGGGTTAAACCACTGAGCTGCTAAATTTGTTGACCAAAAGGTAGCAGGTTTGAATCCGGGGAGCAACGCAAGCTCCCGCTGTTAGCCCCAGCTTCTGCCAACCTAGGTATTCAAAAACATGCAAATGTGAGTAGATCAATAGGAACCAYTCCGRCGGRAAGGTAATRGCGCTCCATGCAGTCATGCCGGACACATGACCTTGGAGGTGTCTATGGACAACACCAGCTCTTCAGCTTAGAAATGGAGATGAGCACCAACCCCCAGATTCGGACACGACTGGACTTAATGTCAGGGGACAACCTTTACTTTACCCTAGGTGGAAAATACACAGGAGCCCCCSGTGGCACAGTGGGTTAAACCACTGAGCTGCTAAATTTGTTGACCAAAAGGTAGCAGGTTTGAATCCGGGGAGTGACGCAAGCTCCCGCTGTTAGCCCCAGCTTCTGCCAACCTAGCTATTCGAAAACATGCAAATGTGAGTAGATCAATAGGAACCATTCCGACGGGAAGGTMATGGCGCTCCATGCAGTCATGTCGGTCACATGCAGTCATGCTGGCCACATGACCTTGGAGGTGTCTATGGACAATGCCGGCTCTTCAGCTTAGCAATGGAGATTAGCACCAACCCCCAGATTCGGACACGGCTGGACTTAATGTCAGGAGACAACCTTTACCTTACCCTAGGTGGAAAATACACAGGAGCTCCCGGTCGCAGAGTGGGTTAAACCGCTGAGCTGCTAAATTTGTTGACCAAAAGGTAACAGGTTTGAATCCGGGGAGCCRGCTCTTCGGCTTAGAAATGGAGAYGAGCACCAACCCCCAGATTCGGAYACGACTGGACTTCATGTCAGGGGGCAAYCTTTACCTTGCACCTCCTTCATTCGTAAGGCACAGCTGTGTGATTTTCTTTTTGAAACTGAAGTGCATTCTTTGCCACTACAAATAAGGCACGCATCACATTATGTTTCATTGCCCATGAATGCTGCCTTAGTGCCGTCCCCTTGTTTTCAAGTTGTGTCTGCCAGCAAACCTAGCATCTGCATAAACAGACCAAAGGCCAACAGTGCGAAGTTTTGCTCTTCCCTTCCTGGGCTCCCTACATATACCTACTTAGCCGTGCTTCCACCTATCCCATGGCCTTGCTGGATATTTTAATACCAACCCATGGTGTTTGTTTATTTATTTTAAGAAGAACAACAACAGCAACAACATGCTGCAAAGACTGTTTCCCTTTTGCTCGTGCACCTTCCCCTTGCAACCATTTCATCTTGGAATTCCACCAGACCGCTGACCCGAAGCTGGGAAAAGGAGGGAGGGAAGCGCATGGGAAATGAATGAATTCAAAGCCCATGAATTGAGGGAAATTTGATCTTTTCGCCAGAAAGGAAGGTGGGGGAGACTGAAGAGGGAGGGCAGAGAGAGAGAGACAAATCCCCCAACAAAAGGACAGAGCACAAAGCATGCACAAAGAAAGGCTCAGGGTCTCTCCTCTATTCTTGTGGGATTCAATGCTGGCGAGTGAGGAGAAAGGGGAGAGAAACTCCTACATTGCCCAGGAAGGCCTGCTTGCTTCTCTTGCCTTCCTCCACCACCCCCAAAAATAGAGGCCAAGGATAGCATTCATCCATCATCTTGCTCAAATTGGGCAAGACACACTCTGCAGACAAGTTCTCCCCTGGCCTTTCGATCCTGGCTTGCTCTGCTCCGCTGCCAAGGCGAGAGCAACACAAAGAGGTCTGCCTCCATCCTCACCTGAACGCCCATCTTCTCTTTAGCTAGGGAGCATCTTCGAGGTGCCCGAGAGGAAGAGATCTTCGCCGCTGGTCCCCAGCATCCGGATTTCACAGCTGCTCTGCTGCTGCCTTCATGGCCAAGGAGAGGAGGACAGAAAGGGAGGGAACAGAGAGAGCTGGGGTGCTTTTCATATTCATAAGGCACTCCTTCCCCGGCTCGGAGATTGGGCACAGACAGTAGCAAGATACACCCACCCGCCTTCCTTCGCCAGCCTATAGCTTAGCTAGACCCTGCTCTCTGCCCATTGGAGTTGGTAGAAAGAAAGAGCAGTGGGATGCAGAGGCAGGCAGAGGAACACATAAGGCACAGTGTGCATGTATTGTCGAAGGCTTTCATGGCCAGAATCACTGGGTTGTTGTAAGTTTTTCAGGCTGTATGGCCATGTGCTAGAAGCATTCTCTCCTGACGTTTTGCCTGCATCTGTGGCAGGCATCCTCAGAAGTTGTGAGGTCTGTTGGAAACTAGGAACATTGGGTTTATATATATATGTGGAAGGTCCAGGGTGGGAGAAAGAACTCTTGTCTGTTGGTGTTCTGTTGTGCGCTGGGCCTGTAGAATCATAGAATCAAAGAGTTGGAAGAGACCTCATGGGCCATCCAGTCCAACCCCCTGCCAAGAAGCAGGAATGTTGCATTCAAATCACCCCTGACAGATGGCCATCCAGCCTCTGTTTAAAAGCCTCCAAAGAAGGAGTCTCCACCACACTCCGGGGCAGAGATTTCCACTGCTGAACGGCTCTCACAGTCAGGAAGTTCTTCCTCATGTTCAGATGGAATCTCCTCTCTTGTAGTTTGAAGCCATTGTTCCGTCCTAGTCTCCAAGGAAGCAGAAAACAAGCTTGCTCCCTCCTCCCTGTGGCTTCCTCTCACATATTTATACATGGCTATCATATCTCCTCTCAGCCTTCTCTTCTTCAGGCTAAACATGCCTAGCTCCTTAAGCCGCTCCTCATAGGGCTTGTTCTCCAGACCCTTGATCATTTTAGTCGCCCTCCTCTGGACACATTCCAGCTTGTCAATATCTCTCTTGAATTGTGGTGCCCAGAATTGGACACAATATTCCAGGTGTGGTCTAACCAAGGCAGAATAGAGCATGGGGAGCATTACTTCCTAGATCTAGACACTATGCTCCTATTGATGCAGGCCAAAATCCCATTGGCTTTTTTGCCGCCACATCACATTGTTGGCTCATGTTTAACTTGTTGTCCACGAGGACTCCAAGATCTTTTTCACACGTACTGCTCTCGAGCCAGGCATCGTCCCCCATTCTGTATCTTTGCATTTCGTTTTTCCTGCCAAAGTGGAGTATCTTGCATTTGTCACTGTTGAACTTCATTTTGTTAGTTTTGGCCCATCATCTCTCTAATCTGTCAAGATCGTTTTGAATCCTGCTCCTGTCCTCTGGAGTATTGGCTCTCCCTCCCAATTTGGTGTCGTCTGCAAACTTGATGATCCTGCCTTCTAGCCCTTCATCTAAGTCATTAAAGAATGTAAAGAATTTCCTTTGGAACAGAACGTGCAACCTTTGCCCAGCGGGAAGCCAGGGGGCCCAAGGAGAAGTTCTCAAAGGTTTTCCACCACAAATTATCTTTAGATGGCTTGTGAAGTATAACAAAGTCTTTTATTAATGAGCAATCAAACAGAAACTTCTCTTGTCTTCAATAAAGCTATACAAATGCTTCCAAGCTTTATGCAACTGGTGACTTCCTAATCTTGCCCACGAAGGACAGGCAACTGTCTTCAATAACTTCTTCTTTACTTTAAATGGAAAATCCCCTTTTTAACTTCTCCCAGGCTGACTGTAATCTAACCCTTACTGATGTGGGCTCCGCTACCGGGTCGAACTGCGTCTCGAAGCACCGAGTGGACCTACCAGTAAAGGCTTAGATATTCTCCAGCTGGAGTTCTTTGGTCTTTAGGGCTGTTTTCCTGGAAATCTTTGGAGACTCTTAAGACTGTTTCCCCCCGGAAAGTCTTAAGGGTTGAAGCTTTTGTACAGGGGAAGCTTGCACACGTCCTGTACATTAGCTTTCCTTGCTGAGACTAACTAAAAATGGCTCCCTTCCCTTCCCAATTGTCCTGAGCAAGGGCGGGACCAAAACTTAATGATGATGGACAGGAGACTTGCCCTATGACTGCAACCAAAGGAAGCCACCTATCTGCAGAGTTCCTGAAACCTAGGACTGCAAACAAACATTTAATACAAAGCAAATAAATTTGGAGCTCCTGGTACGGCCATACCAGCACAGTTGGAGCTAATCAATTGTCCACCTTGATTAGCATTTGATGGCCTGACAGTTTTTAGGTGTGGCTTGTTACTGCCTGGGAAAATCCTTTGTTGAGAGGTGATTAGGTGTTCCTGATTGTTTCTTGCCTGGAGTTCCCCTGTGTTTGAGTTTTGTTTTTGTTTTTTATTTACTGTTACGAGGGTTAAATGAAAAGTAATGCCTCCATCTTCGTAACTCCTCAACAGATGGCAATACTGGTATGCAGCAGGTACTGGCTTGTTCAGTAGACTCTCCTCTACAGTTCCATTTTGGTGGGAAGCCTTAGCATTGAACGGTTGTGTTGTTAATGTGCAAAGTATGGAATCCTGCGCAGACAGTTGATCAATGCGACTTAAGCAATATGCAGTCATTGACAGCAGAAAGTGTCACCCCAAAGGAGATTTGTCACTTGCCTCACTAGCAACAGAAACTTTGAAGATGCCAGTAGCCACAGATGCACGCAAAACATCAGGAGAGAATGCTACTTGAACATGGGCTTACAGCCCGAAAAACTCACAGCAACTCTATCATAGTTTGTCCCTTTGATTTCCTCTGAGGCTGAAAGAGTGTGGCTTGTATAAGTTTTATCCAGTGAATTTCCATGATTGAGCAGGGATTTGAACTCTGGGGGTCTCCAGTGCTCAAACCATTGACTTTGCTGGAACCTATATTGAAAGTAATATTTTCTAACAATGGTAGATATTGACCATGTCATACTTAGTGACATCACTAGCGAACTTAACTTGCAAAATCACCAGGGTTTCCCTCTATGACATTGTTTTGGCTCAGAAATCTCTGTACCTGGAAGAGTCCTGTCCTCGCAACCTTACTGGAAGTGGGGCAGAAGTATCCATACTTACTCAAACTGCCTTTTACCAGCTTAGGCTGGTATGTCTACTATGCTCCTAAGAAGCGATCTGTGCCAAGAAATCAGTAATCTCCTATTTATATCTCTGGTTCTCAACCATTTGTTCATGTACCAGCAGTAGGACATAAAAATAGTCTAGTTGGAACACGAGGGCTTAGTCATAGCAGCAAGAACGATTCCCAATAGTCTCACCTCAGTTAAAATCACAGAATTAGAATGGACCATCTACTAGCCCAACCAGGCAAAAAATACACAACAAAAGCAATGAGTGTTGGCCATCCAAGCTCTGTTGGAAGATCTCCAAAGAAGAAGTGTTCCCCATCTTCTGAAGCATCTTTTCCATTGTTGAACAGCTATTACAGGCAGGTCTTCTGCAATGTAAGAATTGCAATCCATTTCTTCATGTTCAAAAGCCATATCGCTTTGTCTTTCATGTGACATTCCTTCAGATATATAAGCAAAAGTCACCTCTCGCTTTCCAGACTTCTAACTCTGGAAACCCTTTTTTAGACACATTCCAGCTTGTCAATATGCTTCTTCAGTTGTAGTGCTCAGAACAGACCCAGGAGTCCAAATAAAATCGGACCACAGCAGAATAGACTGGCAGTATTATTTTCAGAAAAAACTCTATTTTTGCTTCATTGACTATTCTAAAGCCTTTGACTGTGTGGATCATAATAAATTGTGGCAAGTTCTTGGTGGGATGGGCATACCAAGCCCCCTTCCCTCTCTCCTGAGGAATCTGTACAAGGACCAAGGAGCAACAGTCAGAACTGACCACGGAACAACAGACAGGTTCAAGATTGGGAAAGGCGTACGGCAGGGTTGTCTACTCTCACCCAACCTATTCAACTTGTATGCAGAACACATCATGCGATGTGTGGGGCGTGACGACTGGAAAGCTGGAGTGAAAATTGCTGGAAGAAATATTAACAACCTTAGATATGCAGATGACACCACTTTGATGGCCGAAAGCAAGGAAGAACTGAGGAGCCTTCTAACTAAGGTGAAAGAAGAAAGTGCAAAAGCCGGGTTGCAGCTAAACATAAAAAAAACTAAGATTATGGCAACAAGAATGATTGACAACTGGGAAATAGAGGGAGAAAACGTGGAGGCAGTGACAGACTTTGTATTTCTAGGTGCAAAGATTACTGCAGACGCAGACTGCAGGAAATCAGGAGACGCTTACTTCTTGGGAGGAGAGCAAGGACCAATCTTGATAAATAGTGAAGAGTAGAGACATCACACTGGCAACAAGATCTGCATAGTTAAAGCATGGTATTCCCCGTAGTCACCTACGGATGTGAGAGCTGGACCATAGGGAAGGCTGAGCGAAGGAAGATAGATGCTTTTGAACTGTGGTGCTGGAGGAAAGTTCTGAGAGTGCCTTGGACTGTGAAAAGATCCAACCAGTCCATACTCCAGGAAATAAAGCCCGACTGCTCATTGGAGGGAAGGGTAGTAGAGGCAAAGATGAAGTACTTTGGCCACATCATGAGAAGAGAAAGCTTAGAGAAGACAATGATGCTGGGGAAAATGGAAGGAAAAAGGAAGAGGGGCCGACCAAGGGCAAGATGGATGGATGGATCCTTGAAGTGACTGGATTGACCTTGAAGGAGCTGGGGGTGGTGACGGCCGACAGGGAGCTCTGGCATGGCCTGATCCATGAGGTCACCTAGAGAAGACAATGATGCTGGGGAAAATTGAAGGAAAAGGGAAGAGGGGCCGACCAAGGGCAAGATGGATGGATGGCATCTTTGAAGAGACTGGATTGTCTCTTCAACTGAAGGAGCTGGGGGTGGTGACAGCTGACAGGGAGCTCTGGCGTGGGCTGGTCCATGAGGTCACAAAGAGTCGGAAACAACTGAACGAATGAACAACAACGATTATTTCCCTTGATTTGGACACTATGCTCCTGTTTCTACAGCCTAGAAAAGGCATGGGCAAACTTTGGTCTTCCGGATGTTTTGAACTTCAACTCCCACAATTTCTAACAGCCTACCAGCCTAGAATCACACTGGGTGATTTAGTTGCTGTTTCTGCTCTACCAAGACATCCTAGTCCTTTAGACTTG